AGTCGGTAACGTTGCTGATGGTTAAAACAAATTTCAGTTAAATATAAAATGGTATCTAGACAACTCCGATCATTGACACAGACCTAGGAATTCGAGGCTAGCGTCTAAACGCATTCCCAAGACAAACAACAATATGTCAAGCACAGAAGAAAATAGAAATAAACAACAACCTTAAGATTCTAGGGTAAACATGACAAATGGAAGTTTTTAAATTCAGCCCAGAATTACGTTGCTTTGCTTAATATTCACATATTTACTCAGCGGAATCGAACGCGTATAATTGCTTACGGAAAGGGAGCCAAATTTTCTTTATCGCTAAGATCTGCTTTATTTCAAATCAAAGATACAATCCTTCATCTAATGCTCTGAAGGTGTTTAAGTACAATGGAACTGACTGAGACGCTGAGAAAAAGTATTAAAGATAAGACATATCTTCTTCTTCATCTACCATGGCCGCTTCTTCTTTCGGGTCGTGGAGGCACACACATCATCTTGATTCTGTGCCAGGGTCTGAGCTTCGACAAAAGACAACTACGGTCTGGAGCAGACTCCTTCCATATTTTTGCACCAGGATAATCTTGGCCGTTCCCTGGGCTTTGTGCACGTCGATTGGGCAAAAAACAGCTGCTTCGACTTCCTCTCTGAAGGCATTCGCAACACATGTCCAAATAGCTGCAGCTGTGACTTCACAATCTGAAGAAACAGCGGCTGTACATGAAAGCTTCGCGGATTTTCCTAGTCGTTACCATGGCGAGACGCGTAAAACTAATGACTACTTTCATTAATCCCATCTCAGCCACTTAGAACAGGGATTGAAATTCATCAGTCATGGTTCAAGATTCATAACCATAGGTAATCACGGGAATGAAGATCCACTTTATCACCCGTGGCGTTGTCTTCAGACTTAACTCCGCTTAAACCACAATGGCTAGGGCTAGTTCACGGAGTATGCCACCGGCTACTCCAATCTGCAAATGTCCAAATGCTGGAATGACTCGACTTTTACGAAGGTTTTTGACGCCATTTACTCTGACGCAGCATCTACAATCAGCTTATTGTGATTGGATAGCCGGTGGCAACTGACTATGGAACACATATGTTCGAAGGCATGCCCATTAATTCTTGCACTGGATCCGGTCATGGACTTTCATCAGATTCACGAAACATATCTAAACTGGATGGACGAACCCTATCGATTTCTGATCAATCTGGCGTAGGGCAAATAACGCCGGGCCGAAAGCCACACTGCTATTCCTTATGTTGGAATCAGTTATTTTGTGGCAACAAGTTTTTAGCACCTTTGCGTAGACTTTACCTGGGAGACTCAATAATTTAATGCCTCGA